ATGAACCGTCCGGCGTTCTTTGCGACCAGTTGCTGTCGGCTCCGCTGCCAGCCAGTCTCACTCCAGAGAAGTCCCCGTCAGCGCTCTTGGCGTACGTCAATGGAGCTCGTAAACATCAAGCCTCGTTAACCATTCACGCGGGCCGCTCCGTATGGGGACCAGGTTGAGTGCTGCGGTCGAGGAAGGGCAGCGGCTGCAGAGGGGGCGGGGCGTGCGGACGTGCAGGCGTGCTGCGTCGCAGGTCACGCGCGGGTGTCATGGCGGCAGCGAGCGAGGTGGAGGTGGACGGGTCGCAGTGAAGGAAGGAGCAAAGGAGGGAGTTGTGGTGATGGTGGTGGAGGCTGAGAGATAGTGGTGACATTCAAAGGGTACAGAAGAATGGATTGTAGGGAATGAATAACGCCTTGCCTCAACCATGTAAGTTGGAGAGGAAAAATTCTCAATAGAAGCGGGTAATACGTAAGGTACTGGAAACTTCGCGGACAAGACGTTATTGTAAAATCAAGAGAAAGGTAACGAGAAAAATCATACCGTAGTAAAACACCGGTTGGTTGAAACACAAAATTAACGAATGGGTAATAAAGATATTACTTGTACATTGAGAAAAAGATACCGTGTAAGTTATCGCTTTCCTCGGTAACGTTTTTGTCCTTCCATCTCCAAAGTGGGATATTCTTCCCTTCCGAAACAAAAAGACACCAAAATGGCACCCGACAGCAAAGGGAGGCACCGTGGCGGTCTCGGAAAAGGGAGTGCCGGAGATGGTAGCAGTGACGGCGGTGACGCCGTTTGAAGAGGGATGGCGTTGTAAAAGGGTAGATGCGCTGGGGATGGAGACAGTGACGGTGGCAAGGGTGGGAGCGGTGCCGCACAATAGCGAGTGTGGGCAGAGGTCGCTTCCCGACCGTGGAGTGGCTCCCGCTCTAAAAGTCCCCCGCTTCGCCAACGACAGGAAGGAGATATTGGATATCTCGCGACTAGGAGAATTGTAAGACCTTCAGTAATGAGTGGGGGAAAATTACCCTATCTTTATGCACATGAGACTAGTAATAAATCGCGTAAAAAGCTTTCATTGTAATTACGTTTTCTCTATTCCATCATCATATAAGTCTGACTAATCCCAATGGATTTCGAGCTTTAAATAATGATTGTAGATTATACCGTCACTTATCTCTTTCCCCATATTCCTCCTTTTTATTCTTTTTCATTATTGTTATTATTATTATTATTATTATTTATTATTATTATTTATTATTATTATTATTATTATTATTATTATTATTATTTATTATTTATTATTATTATTATTATTATTATTATTATATAACTCCTAAGTTCTCCGGCACTAAAATTTCATTTTTTCTGCAAGCTAGCTTTCAAGATTATTTTCTCTAAAGCATAATTGCTATCTCACCTTTGGAACCAAACAACAAGAACTGAAAACATATTATTACATTTTTTCCACTTAATTTTACCAAAGCTATGAAGTTTTGAACTCGAGCATTTTGACCAAAACAAGTTCTGGGCATAGTGCATTTAATTCATGAGGAACCAATGCTACGAAAAAGAAAGGCGTGAAATTTCATTTTGTAATGTATTTCGTGCAAGTAACTTAGAATTGGGAATTAGATTGATGAGATTTTCCAACTAATTATGAAAATAAGTTCATTATTTTACATCTTTTAAGTGCCTATTCTATTATAGAACTTTCCCGGTTAAATTATTTAATAGAATTCACGTGTTCAGTTCACCGGGCCGTTACTTTCCCTTCTGTTCCCAGGTTCGCAACAACGATTAAATCAGAAGTCTTCTTGGCCCAGACCACCGGCTCTTTGTTTTCGTATCTGGTCGCCATTGTTGTTTCCGTAGTACGAGTAGTTTTCATTGTCTCTCTTCTCAGTCCGCCCACTATCATTGCATACGAAGACACTGACCTCATACGCACTTTCATCTCGCAATAAAATGCGGCAATTAATGACTACCCAGGAAGAGAACACTGCAAGAACGTTCTGCGAAGTCGTTTGTGGCTACAAGAAAGCTCTACTAAGCAACCACTTGCCTACAATTAGTGGAAATGAAGTGGTTGGTGTACAAGTATAATCATCTTTGGACACTCACGTCACTTAGAAAAGAAATAGACATGTCAACTACGAAAGAGTCAAGCCGGATAAAGTTTATTAAATAAACAGTAGAACCTTAGAAGTAATATTTACCTATACTTTCTAGACTTCACGACTATTCCCACTTTTAACACAATAATGATTGCCTATTTTATATCATATTTCCGTTAGCAAATCGCAACATAAGTTACTTGGTGTTTTACGTATTTTGTACGAGTTATGGAAGGTAACCCGTCATGAAGGAACTTTAAGTAGAACGGTACAAGCCAATTTAGAATGAAAAACGGCGAAACTTGAAAAAAAATCGCTTTAAAAAATTAATGACGATAATTTTAAAGGGAACGAAACTCAAAAAATAATAAGAATGAACCTAAACGTCATTGAGTGCAGGCCTTGAATTATAATTAATAATACTAATAATATACTAATTATATTATTAGCAATATTGTATTAATAATTATTAGCCTATTGATTTGAATTATTATTTCAATATTAATAAACTTACTGTATATTAAAAGTTCTGTAAAGGTTTCAACTATATTTAATAAGATCTATGACAACTCTATCCTCCGATGACAATCTCCGTACTTTATAGGAAATCATTACACTAAATATTATTAGGAACTTCAATTTCAGTTACAGCAAATATTAGTTATTTATTTATTGTATCTACATATTTGGATTATTGATAAACTGAAAAACGAAATTTTCAACAAATTAGTTCTTAAATGTAAATATAATTAATAAATCCGTTTGGTTAGTAAGATAAGTGGTTAATACATCTACGAAATATTTTCTAAATTCCAACAATTTCTCGGTTCTCCAAATATTTCAAAAGAGGAATTCATTGCACGCCACTTCTGGCTATATGTCTTGTGATATTGTGTCATTCCTTGTGGGAGGGATTACCTTACCGGAAAGAATTACATATGCCACACGAAATTATGCATGGGTAACCTTGTGTAATTTTCCCACGCAGAACATTACACAATGTCACGTTCATGACCGATGTTAGAATATCATTAATACTGTCCTACACCTCAGAGAGTTCTTAAGCAACATTTCTGATAGATGAAAAAACTTGCTTCTTCAAAACATTAAATATCGTATCTACTGGTGAAACATTAAGTATCCATGAATAGTCTCATAGGTATTCTAAAATTAAGTGAAATGTAATTTATTCAAACAAAAATTATTCAGAAAAAACACATCATACAACAAGGAGGAAAAATCTAGAAAGAACGTCCAGCGAAGCAATTCCAGCAATTCACACCTCTGTTGGTTGCTCTCGGAAACAAACCACGAAACTAACACCCTCTACCGAGGAGCTTTTAGCAGCTCAAGTCGCCCGCAACGGTATTTCCACACAAGCAATTCGCCACCAAACGAAAACCCCACTACAGCGTCACTCCGCCTCTAAAACCGTCAACATCAACCAGAAACATCTCTAGGTCGCTCTACATAAAGCGACTGATGTGTACTTCTCCGGTACTCGCAAAATTATTTCACTAACGATGGATTATTATTGACAAACATTTTAAAAGTAAAATAACTAAGGCGACACTCTTTGAGAAGTGTGCATGCCACTTTTGTAACACTACTTGATGTAGTTTTGTTCAGCAGCAAGTTTTCCGCTGCAAACCACTACTATGTACTAAAGACTTTTTCAGGATGCACCATTTCGAAAAGCAAATTAGCAATCACACTAGAAGAACGTCTTGAAGACATTTGATTATCATCACTAGTACGAAATATGCGTACATTGAAGCTACATGCCTACATGTTTCTTTCAAATGACTGATAACATGCAAAACTGAGAACGGATAAGCTGCCGGGACATTTCGAATATTACGAGTGCTCTTGGCTGTTCGGGTGACGCCGCGCCGAAGGATGCGATGGCGTCGACGTTTCCACCACCTGGAAGTGGTCTTCCTCAGGGCTGGTCTATCCAACTCTGAGGAAGACCACATTAAGATTGTCGAAATGTCGGCATCACAGCCTTCGATGCGAGGTCGCCCACACAGCACAAAGCACTCTTAAGTCTGGCCGCCGACTTCACATTCAAGATTAGCTACCAACTCGCGAAAATATCTCATTTTTAAAATTGCTTGGTACAACTCTCACGTTTTTCAATTTGGTATACAAGCACGGGAAATGAAAACGATTTAATAGACATTATTAAATGAATGTGTTGCGATAGTAGTTGTCAATAAGTTTGTCAGAAGCGCTGATTGCGAAATGAAAATCCACAGGGAAATATTGCTGTAAATATTATGTAAATGCGCATAAAGAATGCGAAAAGCTGAATGAAATGTATAATGTAAACAACCAACACGGGAAACACTACCCATCATGACAAGTGGACAGTAATTAAAAGAAAATTGTAAACGCTCTACAAATTCAATCACGTGGAAGAGATCAATGGGACGGTGCATTCCACAAAGGACAGAAAAAAATAAACACGTATTCACTGTGAAATTGCGAAAACATCACATGCAGTACTTCAGTCCAAAAATATTAGCATATTGGAACAGGTGAACTCCCCAGGGTTAAAATTTGCTGCTATTCCTATTTCAGGGTCGGAAAAAAATGATTTTTTTTCAGATTCTCTGAAAATTCTGATAAATAAATAAAGTTTCGGTTCAACCAAGTAAATGATAGGTAAGCGAAAAACCTTTACGCAAAATCACTGTATTCCTTTTAATAGTTCATCGTGATTTTTAATAAACAATATATCACATAGCACTAAACACAATAATGCGAAACATCACAGAACAGTCATCACCAGCGAAGAGTCAACGACGATCACTCGACGGTTAAATATATCACAGAACAATCGCACATCAATCAGTAAGCAGCGTCAACAAACTTCGCACTTACCGAAGGTCCTGAACAAATCCATGATGCTCCCCAGACGCAATTGGCAACACTGAGAGACTAGCGGCAGAGGCGCCTGAGCGCTAACGGCTTGGGCACACGCGGCGGGAGACCCACGGAGACCCCGTGGGCTCGGGGCAGGGGCGCCGGCGGTCCCACCGCCACCGCCGCCCACTCGAGAGAGCAGAGCGCGCGCGGTTGGGCCGTCGCGTCGGGCAGGCAGCGCGCCCTTCGGCAGCGGGGACGGGGGACACCGAGGGCGCGGCCGGCCGCACAGCAGACAATAGTCTGGGCGGGCGACGCCAAGCGCTCCCGCAGGCGTCTGACGAAATGGCCCTTTCGAAGAAGGGTGGTCCCAGGCCGCCGATGGCTTCGTGTTTGTCTCCGCGCAGGAATTTGGAGAAGCCAACCACGTCGACAGCACGCGCTTGCGGATTAGAGAGGGATAGGGAGAGAGTGAGGGGGTCCGCCGACCGCCGGGACTGACTTAGTTCTGACGCACCTGGCGGGAGTCTTTGGGGCCGTTGTGGTTGTGATGGTATTGATGATTAAATTCCCAAAAATATTACGTCAATCGAATTGGTACTATTCACCTCATCACTTTCTCGATTGTTCTGAACCCATCCTATTTATGATTCATGTTTGTACATGTCAGTTGGCAGTTGAATCCACTCCTGACTTTATTTGAGTACATTATCGATCTCTATTAATAATCTTTTCTTGTCTTTTTTCTCCCAACGAAATCCAATAAAACAGTTCTGGTTAGCGTTAATATGAATCTTACAACAGAACTCCTTTAATTTTTCACTAGTTATCATGTGGAGCTCAGCGCGGAGATCTGTGCTGCCAATATAGTAAATAATATTTTACCTAACAACCCTTTTTTAACACTCGTTCAGGTCATTTATGTATGTATGAAAAGAAGAGAATAGATTCACATATTCAATGACGTTCAAAACCAAATACCCGCCGAATGATGAACCTACGTTCAATCAGAATAAACGACTGTTCTCAATATGCTTAACAAACCAAACTTCATTCGAAGAAAGGAGTGAAGAAAATCGGAGTCGCAAAATTAGACTCCTACGTGTAACCATCGCGGGGATGATAACACGTAACAGAATATTGAAACGTGTCATAACAGTAATCAAGGTAAATGGTTATGTAGTCAAAAGGCAATCACCACCAAATCAACAAAAATAATATTTACTTTCGTGCTTCCCTCGCATACTCTTCGTAGCAAAAATTCCCCAGTGTCACTTAGGGATGCAACATAAAAGTTTTAGACATCGATTTATTAAGACCGATGTTCCTTTAATAGCGATGTTTTGAGGTTTCGGCGTTTTGGCTGTGAATGGAAAAGCTCTACAATCACGATTTTGTAAAAGTTCAAATACGTAATGCCTGATAATACCACTGTCATTTCACGTCGTCGAGCGAAGTGAACCATCATCGAGCAAGCTCTCTCTCCCCAGATAGGACTCCGATGCCCTGGCATTTCCTAGCTAAGCCTTCTTCGTATTTCGGACGCGGGGAGGTGGTCAACGCATGTGCAGGAGCTAAAGGGCCTTCACCTTCTTCCTGCATTTTCCTATCTAAGATTTGCGATCTTAGGAAGCTTTGACCCCTTGAGATGACCCTATTCGCTTAAGCTAACAGGTGTTGTTATTTTTGTTGCGGTTATTATTATTATTATTATTATTATTATTATTATTATTATTATTATTATTATTTTCTATGTTAAATCTGAATTACGAATTAATAAACAAGGCCACTATCAATTTTAATCTTCTCCTGCGCCAACGTTCACAACTTACTAAGGTACTATTAAAAAATTCGATGCTTAAATACATCGATAGTTTTTGAACGATGTAATAGAGTCAGTTTGCACAGCGTGATGCACCTTCGTTTATACCACTTTACAGCATCTGCGAATGCGCACACGCTCACAAGTGGTATATTTGAAAGTGCTTAACACTGTGCAAAATCTGTATCATTGTTATCGACGCATCCATGTTAGTGGGACGTACACTTTGGTCACCGCAGCAATGCGGCGAGTGTGTTGAACTCTTAGTTGTTGCCGCATAATCGCGGCAGCACTTCCGAGAAGGGTCGCGTCTATCTGTGCAGGGGGTTCTCGGAAACGCGGGCAAACAGTCGTTCTCGGTACCGGAGGGTATTGTGTGACGCCGCGGATCCGGTTCGCCACTGAACGCGAGGACATGCCTCCGCCGATTGCGCTTTCACACCGCGCGTCGCACAGCGCTCTCCGCTGAACGCGCCGTCGATTTTCAGTTTTACTCGTCCAACGCGCCGATCCGTAGCTATTTCCACTGGAAATCACTCCATTGTTTGTAGAAAAACATGCTGCTAAAGTTTGCCTCTAAGAATGTGCAAAAAACATTGTAGAATTCACGACCATGATCTAGCATTAGGACGAGTCGTTCATGGGATTTGGCCGGAGTGCGTAGAAAAATTAAACCATTAGTTTGTCAACGTTTCGAAATATTTTTATTTCATCCTCAGGGCTTACTAAATCCATCTCCTTGTAAATATCCATAATTCTTTAGTAAGACCTGAAGATTGAATAAAATGTTCTAAAACGTAGGCAAATTAATAGTTTAATTTTTCTACTCACTCCGACCAAATCCCGTGAACCACATTTCCTATTGAACAAAAAATTACTTCAACAAAAAAAAATATTCACAAACATGCGGACTTTTAGTTTTAATTTGTTTTACGTGATAATTACATAGACTTTTCAGTTTTCAACAAAATGTCATTAAAACGTAAATACATTATTTTGTAATTGAGACAAAAACTAGCGTTCCATTTCAAAACGGACAAAAAAGTTGTTTTGCAATAGTGTCAAACACGGTCCTCGAAACACTGGTGTAGGCTTGTTGTGAACTATGCATTAATAATTTCCACACTTCCTTCGCAAATTACGTTGAGAATGTATTTTTATTTTAAAATTTCACGTTAATTCACCATTTCCCGCATAATCGTGTTCGAACTTTAATGACTAAACTTTTCACATTTTGTTCGGCATTGAAAACCTCGTAGCCAATCCCACGAGAGGATGTTGACCTGTCATTATTGGCATCAGAGAACTAACAAAAACGAATATGGTTGTTCCTTTGCGCTGAAAGTCTGAAAATAAGTCCTTTATTGAAGACGTGAAGCTGTAATGAATACCAAGAACACTTTTGCGTGTTCCCTCTCACTTATTTTGCGCCTCCCAGTCGCGTCGGAGGTAAAAATATCCGCAAAACTTCCTTTTTATATAACTTTTCATCATTTCTCAGAAACGAAATAGAATTTAGAGCGTTCTTTAACATTTTCTGCGAAGAGCATTTTCCCAATTCTTTTTCATAGACGTAAACGAGGTGGAGAACCGGTACTTCGTGAAATTATACATTACACTTGGGACTATTTTCATTCACGATTTCTACGTTATTTCATACCATTATGAGTGAGAAGTGGTAAGTGGTAACTGTGGTAGGAATCATTCAAGCTTACAAAAAATCTGACATTATCGGAAAGGTAAAGGAACAAAAGAATATGTTCTTTAAATTTACACAGCTTTCCAACATAGATTTCAGTAATTGCTAGTAAGTAAATTGCCCCAGTTTCATTTACACTAGGGTGGAAGTTTATTCTCCAGTAAATCAATTCATTAATTACGTAGAATTAATTAATGAATGAAATTATTAATTGCTATGTAAGTTGTTATATCAAATCCTCTATTATATGTGATTTGTTGTGTGGATGCGTGCGTCACCTGCCCGAAGGCAGGTTTGCAATCGAAAATTGAATCCGTCGTCCCCGTCACTCACTTTAAGTGAATAACATTTTTATATTTTTAGCATGTAATGTGATACATGATACTACCCAATCATTTGCCATTAATACGTTTTCAGAACTTTATATACAGAATTTGTTCGATCGATAGACATCCATTAAAATTTCACGTAAAATGGGATATTTAACAGAAATGGATTTTTTAAAAGGGGGTGGCCAACCTTTACCTTAGCGGGCGGGAAATTCTTTCACGTGCCTTTTCGAACGCGCCACACAAGTTAAAAGCTACTTTTTAACAAATTTAATTTCATGGCTGGGGTTCGAAAATTGGGATAAGGAGGAGAAGGCATATCTCAATTTCGCAACACTCTTGAGTGATGTACACGGCAGTTTACAAGGCACACTTTTATTGGAGCACCACTCTACAATAATGAAAGATGATCGGTTGGACAAGGCGAAGAGGCCACAAGTAGGTACGAGGCGCGCACGTTTTCTTGATCCTCCAGCTCCATGGTCCGCGTTCAGCCCTGCATGACACGGCCAAGAAGAAAATATGAGATCCACTCGGAACGTCACGGCTCAGATTGCAGTGCTGCCCACTTTCTTCCTTGCCAATGAGGACTTCCTAGTTTTCGGTCTGTCTTTCTATCCATCTGTGCGTACCATGTTCCTTCTTGTTACTCAATTATTTCTATAACTATTAACTATTTCTTCAGAATTAAAAAAAAATTCTTTGTTTCTCAAGTGTTTATCTAGTCAAGACGTCATTGCAGCAGACAGCACTGCACTGCAATGACAGACAGCCCCGCTTCTCCCCGCATCCCCGCTCTGGGGTATCAAGAAAAGGTGCGCGATTAATACACGCCGTATCACCCGGAACATAAACTGTTAAAAATTGCGACGAATTGATGGTATATGAATTATGAGACAACTCTGGCGTTGACAATACGAAGGCAAATGCATTTATGATTTAGGCGCATGGCAGACAAAAATTATTGTTAGAAGGAGAAATACGTAGTTGGGAAAAGATGCAGATGAAAAGTCGGAATACCCGACAATGAGAGAAATGTGAGGAGATATACACAAATACAAAGTACAGGATAATAACGAGAACATCCAATAAAAAACATAGGTACCTAAGAAGACATATCTTAGTATCCAAGAAGAAAAAGAACTAAAAGATGAATAAGACTTTAAATACATATTTGGTACAAAGAAGCAGTTTCCTCCCTCTTTATCACTTCACTTCCTCTCCATCCCCTTCCCTTCTACCTATACTCTCCATCTCTCCTTCCCCTTCTCTCTCCCCAACTCCTTTTCCCTGTCTTCATCCATCACAAGCCCACGGCCAGCGCCAGCTCTAAACAAGCCGAATCATCTGCCTCCTTCACTACGCCACAATGTCGATGACG